GTTTTTTGGGGGGGGGGGGGGGGAAGGGGAAGGCACTCTATTGTATTTTCCAATACATAAGATAAAAATAGGAGCGCTCGTGATACGTAATCCATCATTTGAAGTTCACTTCTGATAAGTACTGGTGTAGTGTAGAAGTACTCCTGGGCTAGCCATTCGGCCTGCAAAGGTACAAGGAAACCGCCATGAACCAGGGAAGTGGAGGGCTTTGCCTCGGCCTGAAGGAGTCCTTTCACTGGAAATCGTGATTCTATCTCAGCCATGACGACTGGCTTGAGACTCCATCCACGATAAGAATGAAAAGAACAGAAAAATTGCATTTGTTTTGGTAAAAATTCGAAAAACCGAAGGGCTGCTACGCGTTCAAATTCCCGCCGGACATCTGTCACAAATGCTGGCGACGGGAATGCTTCCACTTGGTTCACGGAGTGCTGTCACTAGAAACTCTTTCTGGCCTTTTTATTGCATTACATCTCACACTTCTACTGCATCCTATTCTATCGATCGATTTGTCTCTACTCTCCAAAATCGCACGCTTTACCCGATTCTTTCATTGCGTCGCCTGATACGTAGCCGCCCCAAGGCGCACTTCTTTCCATGCCTCGCCTTTGGCTCCGCCCGAATTACCTTCGATGTCCATAGAGTGTAGTTTTTGTACGTTTGTTTCTCTTCAGAAACCGAATCTTCATGCGTGAAACTTTGTGTGCTATTTCCAGTGATCACAACTGACACATTCATGTTGGGAAAGAATGCAAGTAATTTTCCTTGGAGGATCCCTTTGAATAGAATCTACTTTACATACCCGCAGCGTATGCATGAACTGTCCGTGATGGATAGTAGCGGACTTCCTCTAATTACAGGCGCCTTGCAAGGTTTTTTCCAATTGTAGCTCACAAGAGTAGTCATTCTTGGAAGGGCACTAATTTGAAGGGCGACTGATGTTGCGCCTCCTTGTTGTCAAGTCTATGTGGTGGGTTTAAATACTAATGTACAAGCTATGTTAAGCTTATTAGGCTCAGCTGGGTCTTACTGAATAGGTTTGTCAATTGTGCGATCAGCGCTGAACAGTGCCTCGCACATTATACATTTCTGCACTTCTTCAAGTGGTACTGGCTTGAACACTTCAGAGTGAACCAGTAACTTTTCAAAAAATAGATATGGACTATGCAAAACTGAAACCGAAACTGCAAATATTTTTATTGTCTGTAGGTATTAACAAGGCTACTCTCCATTACAAGTTACAGTTTGAATGCTGAACGAACCCAAGGGTGGATGACCTGGTGCGGAAAATGAAACGAATATGGGCAGGAGAAGTGGACTATAGGTCATTCACCAATCCTTATCAAAAGTGCACTCAAATGACTTATTCATATTATTTTATTCTTAAATTCAATGAGCCCAAAGGAATGCTCTGTAGGAATAAGGATAATATCACAAGCAAAGTCCCCGTCCTCCCTCCTTCCCCCCCCCCCCCGAAAACACTAAAACTACATGTGAGCGTAGTGGAAAGACTGATGAGTACCATGGTTAACATGACTAATGAGGCCATGCTGGAGTGTACTTCTAGTGATTTCAAGATTATATAGGTTACCATAATAACTCACCAAGAGGATTTCCTGAATCCGGCGCACCGCCACCAATGCTTCAGCCAGATATCGACTACCATAAGGAATCATTCGAATACCAAACAACATCACGAAGAATACAGTAATTGCAGAAAAAGCCTGCAACGAAAAAGAACTTGCTCATTAAAACAACTAACGAAGACAATGTGAATACTGACATCGCTAGCGAGCAGGTCATGTCCTGAAAGCACAACTCCGAGAAAAGTGAGAATTGCCGCCACAACTGGTACGACAGGGCCACAAGCAATAGCCAACGACTGTGCGTATCCAGCAGTTCGAATGTCGATTTTTTCAGCATGCCGCATTTCTGAGCGAAAATGCACACATATTGCAGCATTAATAGATGGAGAAGATACTCGCTATAGTAAAACCAACGTTCAATTTTCCTCGAAAAGCTTTCCTCCATGCAGTTAATCTTTATGACACGGATGCACCGAATAATTTCGCCCATGAGACTAATCCTTTTCTCTGTTTTTTCTATTGCATTGTTACGGCAACGTACCATAGTCTTACCAAGTCCATACTTGAAAAAAAGCAAAATAAAGAATATTCAGAAATGTTTCCTGAAAACCACTTACTTGAATGACGTCAAATATGAAAAAGACAAGAATTCCGAGCAACGACCATCGTCCGACAACGACCAGCAAGTATGCTATTCCTCCTAAACCTCCACTAAAACTCAGAAAAAAATGCCGAATGAAGCATGATTCTACTTGCCAATAAGCACGAGAGGTCCAATAATCACGAGGGGAGCAAACGTCACCGCATCAAAAAGTCGTTGACCATCATTCGCAAACATATTAACAATCTGAGCAAGAAACATAAAACTGTCTTTACGATATGTACCTGACAGATTCGTTACCTCCGCCGCGTTTTTCTTTCCAAGGCTCCTAGCATTGAGCAGGCGCTTGAAGAGTAGACCAAGAAGAGCACCTCGGACTCGAATCCCAGTACGGTAAGAGATGGCCCATGTCGCACCGTACGATAACACACGAGCTATTTCCACCTGCAGTAAAATCAGCTTCATCAGGCAAAGAATTCTGTCTGCCTGCTCAATGCAATAACAATTAATAGATATTGACGTAGGAGAACTATAAGCACTAGTACATTTCGATGACGATTCTAAAAGGTGTGTATATTACGTTCCAATTGACATATTTTTAGAATTGGTGGAAGTTCTTATTCCATCGACATGACATCATTTCGTCCAAGATGATTAAGCATTCATTGGAAAATTCTTGTTTTCCCTGCAGTTTTTGTAGAATACGGTCATTCCGAAGAAAATCTTGTAGCGCGATGTGAAGAATGTACGTATCTAGGGAAGGATCTACGTTCTACACTATTGGGAAGCGAAAAAAGTGCCAATTCAAGTTAATTCAAAAGCAATACATTAGGTTGCGAGAAAAGCGATAGAGGTAGCCGGAAACGATTGAAATTAAGGCATAAGACAGAATAGAGCGACCAATCCAGGCCATCAGCCGTGACAATCGCCAGCCAGCCACCTCAAAAGATCGGCATTCTAGAGGAGTAGGACGCCAATGAGAGCTATTCTGTCTTGATTGAACTCTATACCGCGACGTCCTCGCTTTCACAGAAAACATTCTATTAGAGTGTCGAAAAGTTTTGGTCTTAAATTTCGCGACCACGTTGCGCAAGAATGCGCCAAAGCATGGAACAAAGAGTAAGGAAAGGGCACCCTTGGTAGATTGCGACCATAACAATACAGTACTGTGCTTCGTTGGAAGTAAGCTATCATCAACTATGTCGAACTATGTCCGACCGACACGACCTTCTGCTTCATTACTACCAATCTGGTCGCTCCGCCACTCAGGCCCGGAATGAGTTATGGTCGTCGATGGGCAGCAGTGCGCCCTCCCTTACCACCTGCTATAGGTGGTACGCTCGCTTCTCTAGAGGGGAGATTTCCCTCGACGATGCTCCTCGTAGAGGACGCCCACGTTCCTCTAAGACCGACATTGTTCTAGCTTCCGCTCGAAGCAATCCTTCTCAAAGTCTGAGGGAAATGGAAAGGGCGACTGCTACTCCCCGTTCCACCATCCACGGGATTCTGCGCCGAAGTCGCGTTCGTGCAGCGCTCCCTGGAGTTATCCCCCACTCCCTTACTGAACACGAGCGTCGAGTGCGAGTCGATGTGTGCCAGAAACTTCTCAACCGTAAAGCGAACGACGACGTGGACGGACCTTCATTATCGCTCAGGATGAAAAGTGGATATCTTATGAAAATCCACACAGGAAATTGCAATGGCTACCAGTGGACGTGAAGCCCCAACCCGTTCCGAAGCAAGGCGCCCACGCCAAAAAGGAGATGATACCGAGGGTACAGCGGTGACGATAGGAGTATTCTGGGACAACTGCGAGAGATGGTGTCCCGAGCCCCCAGTTCACACCGACTACAAGGGAAGTTTGTCATTGTGATGGACAATGCTCGACCACACCACGCGAGGACGACGACGGAGGAGCTGGAAAGACTTGGTATCACCTGGCTACCCCACCCTCCATATTCACCTGATCTTAGCCCTTGCGACTACCATGCTTTCAGAAGCCTGCAGGCCTACACCAAAGGGAAAAAATTCAACAACCGTCAAGAGGTCAAGGATGCAGTAGATGAATGGATCGCGTCACGCCCCTCTTCCTTCTGGAAGAAGGGCATCAGTACTCTGCCCAGTCGATGGAGGGACGTCGTGGCTAAAGAGGGTCACTATCTTGATTATTGGCACGTATTTTTTGTAGTAATTTTGTGTTAAATAAACCTTCGGACACCCTAATATTGGGGGCTACATGCATGAGCTCTCGGGTTACAATAAAAGGGGGAAAGGGGCCAACAAGTCACTGTCCCTCTACGTTTGAAGTTGAATACACAAGTTGATTGGTTCTAACAGAATGCACCCATCTGCATGCTGGAAGGCACATTCCAATCCATCAGAAAAATTTACAATAGCCTTCAACACCGACAGTATCAGCACAATTTCCCACGGGAACAAGGTGCACGGTGAGCTCAACGAGGCCTTCGACGGATCATGGGCTATTACGGAGTTATCTCGAATGAGGACGGTGCAGGCAGTGACGGAGGGCCACCACGCACATGAGGGGACATCTAAGGAATATTGTGCCATGAAACTTCTATTAACAGCGACGAAAAACGTACGCAGTGATGTAAGCCATGGGCAAAGTGATTTACTTTGCCCCCCCCCCCCTGTGTATTTGATCCAAGCGAACCCGAACAACTAATATCAGGGATCCAGCGCGATGAGAAATAATGTTAGTATCGGAGAAGGTAAGAGAAGAGCGAGTAGAGAGGGAGCAAGCACCTCATCATGCAACACAGATAAGATCGATCCGTAGCCGGGCCCTGCTAGCTTTGGTAATTTGACAGTCTTTAACACCTAGCGTATAGTGACGCGTTTCGATGTGCGAGGTGACGCGGCTTACGCAGTAGCGGACCATAGACCTGTCCCCAGGAGAGCGATTACATCAGTGGGGCTGAGCTCGGACCTTGCCTCTGAAGCGACAGCGCAGCTGGGGTCGTGTCGGACAATTTTTCTGAGGGTGAGATAGAGTGGCTCTCAGGTAGCACAACTACGCTGTTGTCGCAGCTCGAAGGTGCGCGACGAAGACCCTTGAACCTTACAAATTGAGCTGTATGTTTAATGTGAGCTAACGGACGAGCGCACCATGAAACGCAACGCACTGGTTAGTGGGCCTTGGACTAAACGAGTTCAGACAACCAGAGTCAACCCTGCGTTGCGCAGTTCGCAACGGCACGTTGAGAGATCCTCAACGCACGCTGTATGGGCGGAGACACAGACGGCTCGAGCATGCGAGTGTGAATGTTCGCGCGAGAGAACGTGTCTAATCGGGCGAAACTGCGCAACGTGGCCGTTGAGAACTGCGCAACGCAGGGTTGACTCTGCAGACAACTCGTCCGACATGCCCCTCCCTCACTTCAAGATGAAATGCAGGGGGTACTTGTTTAAGGACTTCATCAACGGTTTGCTTTGCTTTTTTTCATTTTCAGTCAAATCAGCACGCACAATCTCCATCGAACGCCACGGCCACACCACGTTGATCTGGGGTTGGTGCTTTAAGATGTAGAAAAACGAACGAACAGAACAGTCACTCGTTGTACTATCCGCTCTTGCACGGAAGCATACCCACTGCAAAATTTTGTTCACTGGGGAATTCATTCTTATCAGCACGATGGGCCACTATCCGAAGAGGCAATGTGCAATCGTACAATGAATAAAAAGCATATTATGGTAACCGAAAAAAGCCGGTGATCAGAAATTGGGAAGAAAAGGTACTGACCAGACAAATAGGCGAATACAAGGAAAAAGCCGAGCCGATAGTTAATAGATTCACCAGCAACAGGTGGCCTTTCGGCGAATTGCACAAGACCTGAATAATTTCATAAAATATCCTGTTATTCTATGTCTACGACGGCTGTGATACTGATATGAATTGTCAGTCCCAGTGGCTCTTATGCAAACTGCTCAACATCGCAAAGAGGGGAAGGAGGCAGGAAGGTATGGGGTTTACGAGCTGTGGAAACGAGGTATCTTCGAATGACTGTATCTCCCTTCCCTCCCCCATCTGTCAATGGAATTATCATACCGAAAGATTGTCTGCGCGATGGACAAATCCACTCTTATTGGCTATGATCTTCAGCTGCTACCTGCATACGGTTTTCCAAGAAAAATTGAAAATAGATTGGGCTCTGTTCAGAGATGTCCGCTTACGCGAAAAAACGCATAGGCGAAACAATGTGAAATATGTATCGACTGAGCGAAGACGCACAGGCGAATCGTGAAGTGGGAGGATCGACGAAAATGAGTATCATACGCATCGACTTCGAACGCTTCGCTCACGCGATTTTCCGCCTGTGCGTTTCTCACAGTCGATACATATCAAACTCTTGACTGAAATTCGCCTGCTCCGGACGTTTCGCTTACGCGTTTCCAATTTCTCAGTCGATGCGTATCTAAATCTTGACGGAGGTTTTCGTTTTATTTCGCTTCTGCGTTTCTTCGCGTAACAGGGCATCTCTGACCAGAGCCTTATTTTAGAACGATTTGTATGAAATGGGCTGGGGTGCACGAAACCAGCTGATGATCGAGGAAGCACATCAGAAAAAAGTGGCGTAGTGTCTCATGAAATGCAAAAACGGTCACCTAGTAGCAACATCGCCTTTGAAGGGAAACTCGCATGTGAATAACATCACGCGTGGGTGGGAGTCATCGTACTCTTTACTCGAGTTATAGTGCTACACTAGCTTTATCCAAATGCGCTTCGACGCTCCTTCCTTAGACGCACCTCGTATTAGACATGTAGGGCCGATAAAACCGAAGATCAAACAGAATAAGAACACGCCACAAGCAGCCCACAAACGTGTCTTGATGAATCGAAATAGTGCACGAAAAAGTGACGGTGACTGAGGATTCCGCTTCAGTTCGTCCTCCCATAGCACTTCCATCCTGAAATTCGGAGCTGAGTTTTCAAAATCTGGTAGTAGCTTCACAAAAATGCTAGCAATGGGTAAAACTTGTGGTAAGAAACGAATTTCGCCCAACTCAGCATCTTCGGAAATATTCGCAACGCGAACTGCGGCGTAAAAACAGCAGTGAACAAATAAAAAACAATCAAAGTCTGGTGATATTGGTTTTGGGACATCCCGTCGGTATCAGCTATCACTTCCACCGCTATCTAGCGCGAAATCATTCGTAACCGCTAACAAACACTAATAAATCGCTTCTGTACAGTGCTGTTTTGCAAATGTGACATTCTCGCTAAAACACATAGCAGCTTGATATATCGTGCGCAATCTCTTAACACAAGTTGCACTAAGTGCTCGAAAGAGCACAGAAAATCAGAACCACTTCATTCGCCAATCCGCAGCGTAGCTATCCTTGAATGTTGGGAACCGCATCCTAAGAGACTCCCACGTCAACTGATCAGGAGCCTAACTGCCCTGTTCACATCTCTGACCGGATGAGTAAGTTTTTACCGATTTATGATTCATTCGAATTGTATCACCTTTATCAAGTGAGCGTGCCCTATCAGAAAGAGCGATCACGCTAAAAGTTCGCGAACGGCAAATAAATATGGTACATCTATCAGGAACTGGCTCGAATCGTTATCATGACTTTAAAATAACTGCCTTCCATCCGGAGACATCCTCCGACTATACAGCGATCCTTTTTTAAAATTCTGCCACATCCTCTTTTAGGCTACGTTGGCCGTGTCGTGGGGCCGTATCCCCTTCTCCCCAAGGGGACGTGCCCCTCGCCACCGAATCTATCTATACTTGAGGGGAGGCAGGGTTGCGTCATAGGACCCGCCACTGAACGCGTGATGTTGTATTACCTTCTCCCGTATCTCCTGTCGAAGAAATTTTCTCGTCTGGAGACTAGGAGCGCAGAATATGGCTGGTCCTCTGACGCCGCCTCGGCCCATATACAATCATTCCCAGAGGGAATGATTGCATACAGGCCCGGTATTTTTCAACACCGAGAATTTTTTGATTAATTGACCCAAAAACATCGTTCTGAGGTGCACATTGAACGTAATTTGTTGCTATGCATTTTCAAATGATCAAAGAATACACGGATGTTCAACGCTCGAACCAACCAAATCGAAAATAAAGGATCTAGATAGTTTAACTGCTCTTCTAAACAACTGCGACATCCTGAAGTACAACAATGACCTCCTGTCAACGGAAGCGCGACTTTAGCACACAAACACGGTCCATAACATCATCCTTGCATCATAACGCGCCTGCGCTGATAATGGGTGACAACGCCAGTAGTCTGTCTTATTGATAAGGCAAAAACAACTGCTTTCTAACTAGAATTCCAAGATACATTAGCTCTCTGCATTTCAAGCTATCGACTCTGCTCAATGAGGCAAACAGACAGCCGTGAAGCCTAATTGCTCATAAATAAACGCTCATGACGTGAGAGAATATTCTACAAGAGAAAAAAATTGCACTTGGTTACCACAACGATTCACGTGTCTCACCTAGCCATATTTACATTGCTGGCGTCGTAAATACTGCAGTTCCACACTTGGTCTTTGTCCAATTTGCCTTTGAATGCCGAAAACAGATACTCAAATACCCAGCTGTACGTGACGAATGAGAAAAGGCCCGATTCGTCGATCTTTGCACCACCCTTAACATCGCTTCTGAAAAAAGCACAGTGTGCAGTACACACCCTAGACACAGTGGGAATGCATATTAAAAGGAAGATTATGGGAAAACAGTTTTCACGAGAACAGTATTTTAGACCGCTTACCGCTTGGTTTTTCGAATAGGTACTACATTTCGCAAAGAAGACACGTATCGAGTCATGGTCTTCTTCGCACTTCCATGTGCGTACCTCTCAGCCGGATCCGCGGCCATTCTGAACAGAACATTAATTGACAAGCGAGAATAGCCGGCTATACATAAGCATGTTGCGACGTCTTCTATGACATCAGTGAGCTGATTCCCAAGAGAAGAGCTCAACTAATCAGAGAGGCACATTTCATTAAAAAAGGAAACAACCGCAAGAGTGCAACACCGCGCAACGGCAGGGGCAATCGAAAGCTTAGGCGTCCGAAAAAGCATCGAAGGAAACCAAGCGACAAGATGCAAACCCCAGCCTCTCACTTCGTCCAGTCCACTTTAACATAAAGCACATGTGCACACTCCCACAGTCCACAACATCTGCACCTTATCAAGGTTGCTCAACTAGAAATAGGCATTATACATGGAACGAAAAGAAGCACTAAGTGTGTTCGAATAGAGCACGTGTGATGATGTCAAGTACAGCCGCAATTCGGAAATTTTCTAATGGTGAACGCACGCTTTCATTTTCTAAATAGCTTTTGCAATTACTTAAAAAATTCTTCCATTCACTTGTCCAGAAACCTATGCGAGGGACTAGTACAGTGCACAACAAACCACGCGAAAAGTAACCCTTCTTGGTCAAGACGCAAAGACATACTGAGAACATGTTGAACTTCATAGCAATAGATTTCAATCGAATAACAGAAGCGGAATGGAAAGAAATTAATGACTGTAAAAAAAAGATGATAAAAAAGGCAATAAAAACAAAGCAGCCATCACATCATAACTGAACAAGGCCACTGGCAGTTACTATAGCCTTATATGAAGGTCAGAGGGAAATCTGCTGACTTGGTCGCAAATTCCCTCAAATTTCATGAGTGTGGAGCCTGAAACTTGACACACATACTTATAAGTGCAACGGGCGGCCACAACTCGAAGACCGCCGGCTGGATTTCGGCGTTCGTCGAAATAATCGAAAACAAGTGCCGCCGAGGGAGGCGAATGCTGCATGGAATCTCTCCCTCGACGCCCCGAATGAGGCCCCGGCCACCGAACGCGACGGGACGGGGCAGAACGTCACAAGACGGAGGGCGACTCACACGTGAAACGAACATCGGGTCTACTATGTTGATTACAAACAACGTGTTTACCCATTGAGACGCAGCGAGCGCGGTGGCTCAATAAGCTTTCCTCGCCCCATGCGCGGCTGCGAGTGCTTGGTACCACCGAGCCAGCTCAACGGACAATGGCTCTCCCCTCCGCACTCACTTCCCGTTCAGACTACTGAAAGGGTCAACACGAAACTTTGCCGTGAACATCCATGACGCCATAATATGTGCGCCGCCATCCTGTTGAGAGTGAGGAGAGAAAGAGAGAGAGGAAGTGAGGCAGCGAGGGCGAATGTGTGAGACATAGCGGGGGCCCGACGAGAGCCTCTCAGCATATCAATGCACGCCGCTTATCGTACGGACGTATTCAGCAACGAAAGCAGCCACCCTTTCTAGTGATAAAGGTTCAACTGTCACAATTCTCCACAAACTGCCAAGTGGACTAAGAAATATGGACAAAAGTGATCTAGTGCCGAATTGAGCGGCACTAAATGAATGTTTTCCAAACACAGATGTATAAACAGTTACACGTACTTAAGAAGCTCTATTAGCAAGCAAAAGTTTGAAAGCTGGCAGAAAAGAGTCGGATCGTCTGTGTCATGTTAAAAAATGAGACCTTATGATACAAAACTACCGCACTAGTTTCGCCCAACGATAAGGTTACGTAATCTCATAAAAACATCTACTCCTACTCCCTAGCAAGTAAGCTTTATAAATGAACAGAAAACTATTCATAAAATGACACCACATGATCCGAAAACGCTGAACTACCTCCAGCTAGGGCCAACTGTCTGTTGGTACAAGTGCTAATGAAAGGGGAGGGGAGTCGGGGAGGGGGGGGGGCGCACTTGGTCCACGGAGTGGGGGAGAGATGGTAAGCTTGGTGGTCAGCGTAGAAGTCATGGCGGCATCGAATTTGAAGCGCATAAGCAAATTAGAAGCATGGCACAGGCGCGACGCATACCATGGCAGGGATAGTTGGTGCGGAGAATTCAAGTTATCAGCAGAAAAAACATGTTTTAGAGGGATTTCGATGTTTTTGGAGTAAACTGAGATGCAGGAAATTGAAATATCACATAGGATGAAATATCACATATCCAGAAGGATGGACTTCTTGAAAAAAAAACTTCATAAAAGAAACATCCACGGAAGAACGGATTACACGGCCGCTTGAGTAAATTCATAGTAAATCCATGAAAGCTCATGCCCGTGGTTTTCTGAGATACATTTTTAACAGAATCGGTTTGGAGAAGTCATGATCACTGACAAGGGAGGTCTTTCAGGGCAAGGTGCGCTTTTTGGAAACGGTTTTACATGTTGTAGGGACGCATGTATGGACCACAAAACCATGTTTCGTTTTCGCTGAACGGTTTTAGTAGTACCAAAAAAGTGGTGAATAATACTCTTGATGGTTCGATCCCCCGCGGCGACTAAATTTTGCAATCAAGGTTGGCGGCCACTTGTTGGCTTCAAAATGGTCCTGACGATGAATTTGACATCTGATTTTGATATTTAGCGCGATTTGGCACCAAACCGTAGGCGCCAACCCAAATGCAAAATTTAGTCGCCACGGGGGATCGAACCCTTAACAGTACCTTATGCTTCTTTTTTGGTACTGCTATAACCGTTCAGCGAAAATGAAACATGGTTGTCCCTACAGTGCACAAAACCGTTTTGAAAAAAGAGCACCTTGCCCTGAAAGACTTCCCTTGTGAGACTAAAACTCGCGTTTTCGAAAAATGGCTTCAAAAGTGCCCCTCTCCCGCCTAACCGAACAAATTTTCGATTACATCAATTTTCGACAACGTTCCACTATATTTTAGAACGTTAGAGTTCTTCAGTTAGGTATGCTTGCCTTAGCTATTGAACAATAAATAGTTTAAGGGACGATGTGATCGTTTGAAACAGAGTCTACCGTATCCTGGTACAAGTACCAGAGAGGAGGGTCATATTTGGACTATGAGGTGGGATGGGATGGAACCGCGGTGATCAGCAGGGAAATCGATATCGACTTCGAAATGCATCGGCGAATTAGAAGCACAGCGCAGGCGCGGCGCACACCATGGCAGGGATTGTTAGTGCAAAGCGCTCCAAATTCAAGTTTTTAGTAACAAAGGACTGTTGATTCCGATGCTTCTAGAGTAACTGAAAAGAAGAAAATTCAAGTAGCATCAAGGATGAGCTTCTAGAAGAAAAAAGAATTTGTACAACAGAAATATTCTTGAAGAGACGTATTTCCATAAAGGTTGAGTTGGTTTTTGAAAGCGTATACTCGTACTTATTTAACACACTCAAAGACTCAAACGAACTCGGTGTCGAAGGAAGTTACGATTATTTAAAGATGAAAAAAAGTACGTTTCCATAAAAACTGCTTGATAAGTGCCTTTTCAAAAAGTCCCAATGGGACTACCTGTTAAACCGATAACTTCTTGAAAATGTCAAAGCACTTCCTAAAAATGTTAAGCCTTGCAGTCCGTCAGACAGAATTCACTTTCCCAAATTAAACGCTGTGAAGAAAGTTCTGATCATTTGAACATTGAAAACTAGCGGTTCCAAAAAAAGCAACAAGCCCCTCAAAAAAGTCCCCACGATAAATACTAATTTTTTTTAGTAGTAGCAAGTGGTGCGCTTACCACGCGAGCGGTCCGGGATCAAATCCTGGGTCGTGTCCGGGCCAACCAAGCCTTCCATCCCTCCGGGGTCGGTTAATTGGTACCAGACTTGTCTGGGAGGATAAAAACACTGACTTGACATCGGCTGGCCCCCGCAAGTCATTGTATAGGCCACAACGCATTCAATTTTTACCACGACTACGAATGGAAGTAGAATGCGTGGCGCATCCCATGACCTGGGTCAACCATGCCTTGCGCAGATTTCAGAATTTTCACGACCCTACGCCCCTCAGTGAGTGTCAGTACGACCCCTTTGAATTGGCTATCCATTTCTATTCACATATTTTTTTGCCCATCATTGATACATGGGCCGTCATCGACATGAAAAAGAGGGTTGGGAACGCATATTTTGCCTCGCTAAAGATACGAGAATTGTGGCAACATGAAATTTAACTCAGAACTGAGGTATTTCTAAGTTATCGCGTAAACATAGGTACATTTAAAGTCGTCAAAACTTCTCCAGAAAATTATCGAAATTCCTCCGAACCTCAAATCTCCCTTCTTATAAAGTGAAAAAACTGAACCTTGAAGTATTAGGTCGTGTCAAATGCCTGTATCTCGGCTCATTCGAAACCTTTTTGATTGGAGTAAAGACTGTTAGAATCCACAAACCTCTGCCAATAATAGCTGCGTTGAATCAGCCCGGTAGTGCAGAATACTGGAGCTCTAGAGACGATGAACCCGGCGGAGGTCGTTTCCGCATCATGTTGGTTTTTGAAGCATAACTCTTTGGAGAAGCTATCCAGGTAGTCGAGAAAGTGACAAATTATAGGCAAAAGGTCTACCGAGTAGGATGTTCGCAGGACTAATTCGTAGCCAATCTTGTCCAACTTCTGCAGGGTTGGTTGTGGAATGTGCGTCCGAGCTACCTGTCAGGGACGAGCCGGTTCCTTTATAATGAGGAATTTCGAGCATATGTGCCAGAGTTCTAGGAGTAATTTGACACATTATCAGTACTTTTTCCACATTAACAGATCCACCTGGTTACGAAAAGCTAGACCAGCCGCTGACCTTATGAAAGTCACCTCAACCTTCCTTCAGTGAAGTTTCACTTTTGCAAAGTTTGTAGAGCCTGATCGCGGTCGATCACTTCACCAAAGGTTCGTATTCTGTAGCAAAGAATCCGTTCTTTGTCGTGCGTCGCAAATGATCAAAAAGTCAGGTCGTTTTCATGGCATGAAACAAGCTAGAACGCGGCGAACGACCCTTCAAAATGGTGAGCTGTCGCGGCACGCCCTATTTGAATTTTTGGGACTTTCCAGCTCTTCCCGTACAACAAGAAAACACAATG